ACAGTATGCATGTGTGTATGATACATGAAGAGCGCGATCAATTGATGATCACTTCGACAAGAAAATTAGTGTAATCTACGTGTAGAAATTTGATAAACTTTACTACGTAATTTGTATTCATATAAGTTTGTATAATTACCGTTCTCAAGTCATCTCAATGAAGGTAGAACCTCGAATATGTAATATGATAATGGTCGCACACGACGCAAGTGGCGTTACTTTAAGAAAAAAACAGAAATAATTAATAAAAATTGTCTGTATAAAGTTTGCAAGGCTATAAATCTAGTGTCTAACATGTGCTGAATAATTCTGTAACTTATTTCGATGAGAAAAGAGAAAAAAAGTGAAAGAAATATTGAAAAATTACAAGACAACTTCGTGTAGCAAGGTTATGTGTTACTACGCATGCGCAGTAGCGCAACAAACATGGCGTCGATGTCACTCTAAACTTACACGCTGAGATATTAGAAAGAAAATAAGAAAATTTGCGAATTTTGGAACTTGCAAGTGTGGAAATTTGGAAATTTAGAACCTTGAGAGTTTGGAAATTTTAGAGTTTAAACAATCTTGTATTTAAACTTTGCAAGAATTAAAAATTTGTACATTTTTAGTTTTAAATTTGCAAATTTCTAACATTCTACATTTAAACATTTCTAAATTCTACGACTTTTTACTTGAAATTAATTTTTAAGTCTTCAACATCCTAAATTACAAAATTTGCAAATACAAAACTTAAAAAGTTTAAAAACTTGAAGCCAAAACTTAAAATGAAGAAATTTGCAAATTTAAGAACACTAAAGAATTTTTTACTAATTTCTTACTAAGAAAATGGAAGAATTGGAGGACATAAAAGTCAAATCTGTAAGTATCGGTAAAAGGAAAATGTTCGCCAGTCATCTTTCAGCTTTGACGGAATTTCTGTGCGAGCAATTGAATCTGGCGGTTTTATTCGAAGTTTGTTCCGATGAACTTGTCGGTGATTGAAGTATCGATGATTGAAGAAACGCGATGGGCATGATTGTATCGTTGCTTTTAAACTCGATAAACTGTTTCCTCGTTGTTTCGTTGCGAAATTGTTCCTTTTTTCTTTGTGCTTACAATCGGTTTTCCGTCGTTCAGTCTGTTACCGATTCTTAATTAAACTATATGAAAGCATTCGACTGTACAAGAGGATACTGATAATATAATATTACAACCGGAACACTGTTTTACTGAAATTAACACCTTCAACGTTTATGATACTCGTTTTTACCTCTTTTAAATTCGTCATTCTTTTATTTAATTAAAAATTATTCACTCAACTAATTGGCTATTTTCTTAGCCAATCACTTTTTATTCAAGAAGATTAGTTTTTATTGAAAAATACAAATATTTTAATTCCAGAAAAGGTATTTTGAAAATTAAAACAAATGTGCATTCTCTTTAAATTAAAGTTTAAATCAATTTTTTGAATAAATTAAAATTTGCTAAATTAAAATTTTCACTTCTGTAATATTTAATAAAAAGTCAATTTCTGTTAAAACTATAAACAAAATTATAAAATTACATCTCATTAATGTATCAAAAAATTTCTCAAAAGCAAAAGAAAGCGTCATTTACAGAAGAAAAATAAAAATAAGATGCTTGAAATAAAAAAATATTTCAATCAAAACGATTGAATCGTGATCGAACATAAATAACTGAACAACTAATAACACAACAGTGTTTAATACTTGATGAGATAACAATTTGAAGCTCCGCGGTGTTACACGCAACACCTCGAATCGAGGTTGCAGTCGACTTATTGTTAGATATAAATCGATTCGTGATATTCCTGTACGAGATGTAGTTACGAACGTCTAAAACCTATTCCAATTTTAAAGTTCAACGGGAGTTTGAGTACCCGAAGCATATTGAACTGCAACAGTTTTTTTTAATACTTTTTTTCCTCTAGTAACTTGTACGCTCAGATATTAAATATCGATCTAGCTTCGATGTATAAGTGCGTTTAAGAAAGCACTTCTTTGAAACATAAAGTTCGATGATTATAATAGCTTCCGAAGGCGCTCTGTAATAAATTGTAAATACGTAATATTAAATAAAACTTGGACAAGGTTTCCTTCGTTTATATTATAGAAATTCTTAAGAATCTTTGACAGAATCTAATTTTGAGATGTTTTGTGATGAAGATATTTTTAATATCTTCAAAATTGCATAATAATTCTGTTATAAAGTAATTCTATTATAATATATTAATTTAGTTTATAATTAGAAAATTAAGCCTTGTTGTAAATTTAAGGAAAATTGAAATTGTAATGAATTAAGTATATACTAATATTAATATATAAAATATTCTAGAAATTTAATTATTGCTAAAGAAATTATCATAGTCACAAGCAATGATAACCTATAAACTTGATTAATTGTACCACATACAGGGTGCGTCACAATTAGGTAGGTCCCTGAAATGGAAGGTAGCTGACGTGATTTTGAATAAGATTACCCTTTGCGAAAATGGAGTTTAAAGCTTCGTTTTTGAATTATTAAGGAAAAACACGGACTAATCAGAGCGCGAGGATTACGCATGCGCAGACGCAAGAGCGACAGCTTCGAGCCTAGAGACGGGGCGCGTGCGCAGATGCGAGAGCGCAGCTTCGAGCCTAGAGGCTGCGCGCGCAGCTCTAGCAAGACCTACACTAGTGAGACACCCTGTATTTGCAAAAAGAATACTTAAACTTTAAAAGTCTAGCGTCTGCGCATGCGTAATTCTCGCGCTCTGATACCCTACGTTCCTATTTCCACGCGTCATATCCCCTATGCCCCGTATTTCCACGCGTTGAATCTCCGCGTGGCGTAATTCCACGCGTTATATTCCCTACGCCTCTATTTCCACGCGTCGTATCCCTGACGCACCGTATTTTCACGCGTTGAATTTCCACGCGGCGTAATTCCACGCGTTATATTCCCTACGCCTCTATTTCCACGCGTCATATCCCCTGCTTCTCGTACTTCCACACATTGAATCTCCACGCGGCGTAATTCCACGCGTTATATTCCCTACGCCCCCTATTTCCA